GTGGAAATGCTTTGTCTAATGGAGGAATAGAAAGGACACAAAGAAAGAGCTGGAAAGTTTAAGGAGACAAGAGAAGAGATGTTCGAAAGATTATCTCAATTGTCTGAGTAGAAAACTGGACCAAAGATATGGATGGATAGAAATAAAAAGATAATTTAGTAGGCTATTGCTACATCTGAGTAAGAAATTAAGTGGACTCGGATTGAGAGAAGATCTTCACTAGCCATACAACGGATAAGGGTCTCATATCTAAAAAATTAAATCCCCCAACAACAAATCCTCAAAGAGACAACAATAAATAAGTGGGCTAAAGACTTAAAGAGAAACTTCTCTGAAGAGGAAATAAGAATGGCCAATATAGACATATAAAGAATTGCTCAACCTCTGTAGTCATAAAAGAAATGCAAATTAAAACAACATTGAGATTCTACCTAACCCCAGTTAGAATGGCTATAATCAGGAACTCTAATAACAACAGATGCTGCAGGGGATGTGGACAGAAGGGACCCCTACTGCATTGCTGGTGGGAGTTAAACTTGTTCAACCACTTTGGAAAGCAGTATGGAGGTTCCTCAAAAGACTCCACATAGAGCTCCCTCCCCTATGACCCAGCAATTCCACTTTTGGGCATTTACCCAAATGATCACAAACAAGACCACACTAAAGCTACCAGCACAACTTTGTTTATTGCAGCATTATTTACCATAGCTAAGATAGGGAACCAACCCAGATGCCCCTCAGTAGATGAATGGATCAAGAATATGTGGTATACACACACACACACACACACACACACACACACACACACACAAAATGGAATTCTATGCCTCCATCAGAAAGAATGCCATCACCCCATTTTTTAGGAAACAGAAGGACTTGGAAAAAATTATATTAAGTGAAGTAAGCCAGGCCCAAAGAAACATAGTTCTCATGGTTTCCTTTATTTGCAATAACTAGTATATGTCTCTGGGACAAGCAGAAAAGGTCAAAAGCTATGTACATATGACCAGATAAGATGATGTTAAGTGAAATGAACCCCAAGATAGGGACACAAGTGTTTTTTTTCTTTCTTGCTATTGATTCTAATGTATTTATCATGTACCATGTGATTTTTTTTGTTTCTTTGTATATTTCTCCCCCACAGTATAACCCCTGTTTTCACTGTATTTGATGTCGGTGCCCTGCATCTGGTATATACACTTCTCTAACTTTGGGAGAGGAAGGGAAAAAACAAAATGCTTAAATAGGGATACAGTTTGTCCCGACCCGCAGGACGTCAGCGAGGGCAATGAACTGAGAGACACGAAGACTGACAGCAAGACAGGGATTCTGATCAAGCTGCAAATTTTTATTTTTCACACAGGGGTATTTATATGCTTGGAATAAGGAAGCTTTTTCATTGGCCGTTAAGGAAGCTTTTTCATTGGCCATAGCAGTGCAGGATGTTTGCTTAGGGCAGGGGGAAAGGGTGGTCCTTAGCAGTTACAGGATGTTTACTTAGGGCAGGATGGAGGGAGTGGGGGAAGGGGGGAAATGTAGAAGTTGTGGAGATGAGAGGGAAGGGATGGTAGGGGAAAAACAAAGGAGGAGGTAACAATTCTTGGTAAGAAATGTACTCATTGCTTTGCTCATGTAATTGTAACCCCTCTGTACAGTATATTTACAATAAAAAACATATTAAAAAAAGAAATTATGTGGGCTTAGAAAAGATCATGACACTATAGAATACAAGAAAGAATGGATTTGAGATATGCTTTGGAGCTATAAATTGTGTGATTTGCTGGTGAACTGGACATACCAATTTAAGGAAAAATGGAAAGCAAAAACATAATTAGACAGTTTGGGAATAAGCAATTGATAAATGCTGATACAATTAATGAGGTATTAAAGACAGGATAAAATGGTAATTTTTCTGAGAGAAAAGAAAAGCATCATTTCAATTTGGAACATATATAGATATCTATGTAGAAATCTCAATTAAATAAAAGTTTGGGACTGTTACATAGAGGACAAGATTATTTTTGGATATATAAACCTGAGGAGTCATCTTTCCAGGTAAATTTACACTGTAGTTATAGAAGAATTCTAGCCAATGAGACACCAAGGATAAATAGAGAAGAAAAGAAGACCTAGAACAAAATTCACTGCTATTCTGACAGATTCATACTGAGAATCAACCCTACTGAAGGAGATTGAATTGAAACAGGAGTATTATAGAAGCTGTGGTGTGTGTGTGTGGGAGGGCTGTGTTTTGTATTGTATGTTGAATGTATTTCCATACATCTTAACATATTGTAATAAGGAGAGACTAATTCTTTCCTAACACACAGACTCTGATCCCTACCCATACTCAGCTCTAGGTGGGACATGGCAGTCGGGTTGATCAATTGAAGTCTACCATACATTTTGTGAATACATGAAGAAAATAAAAGGAACTGTTTTCTCACTAAGTTGCATACATAGAAGGATGACTGATGTACATCTAGCACTACCAAGAGTCTTCTTACCACGAGAGGAAAACATACCTAACAAACAAGGTAAAAGTAGAAATGTGAGCTGAGAGATGAAGAAATTTCTGATACAATGGCGACTTAAACTAGCATCATTCTTTGAGCTTCTTGGATAAAAAGATAAATGCATTTTTTAAATTTTTATTTTTTTCTTGAACTCAGGGCCTGGGCACTATCTCTGAGCTTCTTTTGCTCAAGGCTAAGCACTCTACCAGTTGAACCACAGCACCACTTCTGGCTTTTTTCTGTGGTACTGAGGAATTGAATACAGAGCTTCATGCATGCACTATACCACTAAGCCACATTCCCAGCACTGATAAATGTGTTCTTTAGCATGTATTTGAACCAGTTAATTTGAGTTGTATTCCTGTTATTTGCAATCAGACATACATAGCTTTCAAACAAGCCTAGATAGTACAAGAAAAGAAGAATGGTCAAGTGTGTCAAGTGCTGAAGAGTTATGCAAGATGAGAGAAAAGAGGTGTCTACTGAATTTGGCAATATAGTATTACTGGTTCTTCAGAGGCAGATATCAGTGAGACAGATATCTCACTCGAGTGGAAGACTGAATTGGAGGTACTTGAGCTGATGAAGAGAAGGGGTCAACCTGAAAAGATTACTAGAGGGATTATAGGACCAAAAGAGAAGCAGGGGAATATTTGATATTTGCCTCCACCTGTTTATTAATCAAATATTGATCAAAGGATAGCTACCTATGTGTTAAATTATCCTAGTCCCTGAAAAATTCAAAGAAGGGGAAAAAAAATCCTACTATCTTGCTTCACAACCAAGAGTTCTGAAAATAGATATTAAAATCAAAATAAATGTGATGTAAGGAAAGGTCTTGTAGGTGGGAAAATGCCAAAAGTATAAAACAATGTTCTGTAACTTATAACATTTTGTGTTTCTTCAAATTATTTTTTCCAAAATTGCTCAAAAATATTTGGCATACATTGAGGTGAACCTGGCTCCTTCAAGAAAAGAGAATAATTTTTGTTTACTTTAAAATTATGCATTTGATGATCCATTTAAAGTCAGCTAGCTCAACTTTGTATTTTTTAATAAGGTTTTTATTATGAAAATGCTGTACAGAGGGGTTAGTTACATGAGCAAGGTAATGAGTACATTTCCTATCAAGCATTGTTGCCTCCTCCTTAGTTTTTCCCCTATCATCCCTTCCCTCCCACCTCCACAACCCCTGCGGTCCCCCCCACACTGCACACCTAAATTGTAAAGCTCATTGTTCAACATAGTGTCTTGTACATCTCATTGTTACAATGGGTCATCCTGTATCCCTATTTAAGCATTTTGTTTTTTCCCTTCCTCTCCCCAAGTTAGAGAAGTGTATATACAAGATGCAGGGCACTGACATCAAATACAGTGAAAACAGGGGTTATACTGTGGTGGAGGAACATACAAAGAAACAAAAAAAAATCACATGGTACCTTATAAATATGTTAGAAACAATAGCATGAAAGAAAAAACCACTGTGTCCCTATCTTGGGTTCATTTCACTTTTTTATACTTTGGTAATAAAGTAACAAACAGCTCTATTAGACCAGTTGAAGAATAACAAAAAAATTTTTTTTAACACTTAGCATGTTTCACATACTTTGCCAGGTGGAAGTTGCAAAGTGAAGTGCAGAAATGAAAATCCAATCTTTGATACATAAGAATTCCTAAGCACTTCAAAACTTTGTTACTATTGTAATAGAAATAATAAACAGAAATCTATAGGAAATCTTTGAAAAGCACATTTACAGTAGAGTCAGTGAAGTTTTCCAGTAGAACATAGAGATTAAACTAAGTCTGGAATTGTAAGTAGGGCCTGGAGAGGCAGCTTTCTTTACTGAGCAACTAGCTCTTACTTGCTTCAAAGTTAGATCCATGCTCGATAAAGACTGGCTTAGCTGTTCGCACCAGCAAGCCCCTATCTCTAAACACATAGATGCAAGTAACAAATGAGTACTGATTAAGAGGGATTGTGAATGTAACTCAGTGGTAGGGCACTTGTCTGCTTGTGGGAGGTCCTGGGTTTAAAATCCAGCACCACATTCCCTAACTCTATGACTATTAGTTTGCCAAAGTTGCCATAATAAAATATCATCGCCTGGAGGGCTTCATTACAGAAATTTATTTTTTTCCCTCAATTCTAGATGCTGGAAGTTCAATACCAAAATACAAGCAAGTTCAATTTCTTTGGAGCTTTCTCTCTCCTTGGCTGCCTCTGTATCCTCATCTGTTCTTAACTTGATGTCTCCTTGTGTGTTCAAATCACTTCTTACAACCACAGAAGCCAGATTGCATTAGGGCTTAACCTAAATGCCTCTCTTTAATATAATTACCTTTAAAAAAATCTTTCCAACTTTAATTCAAATGCAAAGATCTGGGAGATTTCAGGTCTTATTAAAAGCAGCCATGCCCATGGACTGCACATAGTCCTCAAAAGCAGTGATCTGTTTATCCAGCATGCCTGTTCTACTTTATCACCTTCTACTACACATTGTATTTGAAGCTTCTTAATGCCATATCCCACTGGAACCAGTTTGGAGGATCCGTAGACCAAGCCATGTGCTTGAATGCTTTGGATGTACTCTTGTAATTTTGCCATATCTGTCTCATCATCCCAGGGCTTCCCATCTAGTAAGATGGAAGACATGGCAACAAGCGCAGGTGTTTTTGCTTTCTTGGACTTGTACTGTGCAAGACAAAAGTGGAGTTTCAACCTATGAATGAGGAGGAATATAATTTAGCCATAACAATAAACTTGGACATTTTATCACTCTAGGATTCACTTTTCTCATTTATAAAAATGGAATAGCGACGAGAACCTTCACTTATCTTTGGCTGTTTCAGCATTTGACTGTCTGTAGGATTCGGGGGAGGCAGGTGATTAAAGGGCTGGTGATCTCTTGGGACTTCTACTTGCATAAATTGATAGGAATTGACAAGTGGTAAAAAGAAATTGCCTGGTGTGGTTTTGATTCTTGACCATTGTATGGGAAACAAGGAAGCTGGTGAAAGTTAGAATGCACTGGACTGGTCTAAAGTTTTCAGTGAGACTAGCTCGAGTGGTATCTATAACTAAGCACAGACTGTGTTCTTTTAGGAATCCAGGGTAAAACTCCATACAACACTGTGGCCCTTAGCTCTACCCCACTGTCTTCGTATTTCATCTCTTTTATGAAATGTGCCATTTGTTTTTTTATAACAATGAGGGATTATTAGGAGGGGGAAACAAGGGATATCTCCAAGGTATCTTCTCTCAGATGTGGCAGACCTCATATCTAAGATGTGTCTTACCAGAAAGCAAGTCTCATGACCAAAGTTGATGTCAAAATAGTGAGAAAATATAAAATAACTACATGGAGGCCAGCAGGAAACTGACATGTACAACCTTCTTACAAGGTGAGAGGAGGTGAATATTGTCTAATAATACAATTTACTACATGCTACTTTTCGTTGTTTATTTGGGAAAAAACCTAGCTCCCTTCCATATAAAATGCTAGTCATTTAAGTTTTCTATATTTTGGGCCCAGTAATTCAGTGTCACTGTCACTTAGAGCTATCTAAACAATTAGGATTTGCACAGAATTAGAAATATCAGGTAGTGAGTACCAAGCAATCGTCTTTACAACCAATGACACATTTAGGGGGAAATTCAGAGGCATGAATGTGGAAGGGGATATATTGTGCCAAGATCTAAATTGAAACAAGTCAGACTGCAACATAATGAAAGTGGTTTACATTCTTTTGGAGTTTGCGATGTGTGACACAGGCATGTATCCTGTTTTTAAAGCAGTGTTTGCAAAAGAGCTAAGCCTTGAGTTAGACATTTTAAGCTTGATGTTATTATGTATTTTAATTCTATCATTGACAGCCTCTGCTTTGTTTGTATGCTCACCATGGAAAGTTCTCATTCACTTCTTATTTATCCATCCATCCATCATTCATTCACTTGTATACTGAAAAACATTCACTCAACACTGATTATTGACTGTTTTTGGCGTTGGAGAGACAAAGATGAATTACCATTCCCAATCTAGAAGAGCTCACAGGCTAGTAAAAGATACAGAGGTGTAAAAAAATAATTACAATATGTAAGAGCGGTGCAAAGGTGAGAAATGCAGCTCTGTGTATTGGAGAAGAATGTGTTCTCTAGAGTCAGACAGATCTGAGCTCTCTTCACAACAATTACAAGGTGTGTCACCTCAGGAACTTTACAAAATCTCCTGGTGCCTCAATGGCTGTTGTAAAATAAAGATCCTTGCACCTACATTATTGGTTTATTATGCATAAAGCATAAAGCTATTTCATAAAGCAATAGCCACAGCTCATAATACATGCTCAGCAGCAATCATGTGGTTTATTGTATTGTGATATTTACTGGAAGACTTGCAGTGACTTGAAATTCTTAATTTGACACGAAGAAACACAGCTAGGAAATCATTTCTCAGGAAGTGAGATTTGAGAGGGAAAGCTAAGTCAAAGCAGAAGATGACAAATGGAAAGGAAGAAATATATATGACGTGGATGTTGCTCAACATACAATGCATGAGGAGGGAAGAAACAAGCAACATACGAGTGTGAACATGGAGTGGGGCAGATCATGACATACTTATGTGCCATATAGCAAAGAATTTGAACTTGTGAACTCTTTCTTTATGACTATTGCTGTCTGGCTTTCTCCTGCCACTTTCTGCTACTTCACACCATCACATATAATTTATGACAATTTGTTCTCAGAGTCTTTCATTATAGTCCCTAGGAGGGCAAATGTTATTTACTGTTATGGCTCTTCTTTCCAGTCCCTCCTGAAAATCTACTCACCTTTCTTGGACCCAGTCTCACCTCTATACTAAATGGTTATTTCCTCTCACCAAATGACTGTTTGGGATGCTTATCATGACTTCTCTGCCTTGTTCTGCGGTTTCTATTTCCTGGATCCAGCTAAGAATCTTTTTAAGGATCCCATCCTCAGCTAGTTGTTGTTGTTATTATTATTATTTTGGAAATTTAGGCCACCTTGAAAATTGGATTAAGGAAACTTGCCACCAGTGACTCACACCTATCATCCTAGCTAGTCAGGAGGCTGAGGTTGGATGAGCATGGTTTAAAGCTGACCAGACAGAAAAGTCTGCAAGACTCTATCCCCAATTAACCAGCAAAAAAGGTGAAAATGGAGCACTGGCTCAAGTTTTATTTTTTTATTTTTTAAATAAGTTTTTTTTATTGTGAGAATACTGTATGGGGGGGTGTTACAGTTACATGAGCAGGGTAATGAGTACATTTCTTATCAAGCATTGTTGCCTCCTCCTTTGTTTTTCCCCTACCATCCCTTCCTTCCCACCTCTACAACTACATCCCGCCCCCCGCCCCTTCCCCTACACCCCCCCCCGCCTAAATTGTAAAGTTTGTTTTTCGACATAGCAATGGGTCAGCCTGTATCCCTATTTAAACAATTTTAGAATATTAATCTTGGGCAAAGAAGCTCGGAGACAGTGCTCAAGCATTGAACTCAAGCCTCAGCATTGGCACAAAAACTTGCTTTAAGAAATATTTTTTTATTATGTAAAAATTAAGTTAATATGATCTCTTCATTTTGTTTTACTTATTCCTTAATTGGGGGTAATTTGGACTCTTTAGACATGTAGCTATCTTAGCAATTTAAGTGCTTTTCCTTCTTACTCAACAAACTTGTAATAAAACCTAGAATTTAAAGTAATCTTGAAGATGCTAACAACTGTTTAAAGCAACCAAGTGGAGTTAACATAAATGCTAATCCTGCTCTGAGAATGAAGATAACTTCAGGAGCAAAAGCTGTTACTTAAACCTCTTCTGACTAGATTTCTGTAGGTTGCATGCCTGACCATGTAGAAGCATGAAGAATTTAGGGCCTTAGTAACCTAAAGATACTGTTGTATAAAAGTTCTACATTTTTTATAGGGTTTTATCTAAAGGGGTTAATTCATTATGCAAATCTTATTTATGGTAACAAGGTGGGTCTGACTGACAGAAGCAATATCAGAAAGTAAAAACTGGGACATTGATAGACTTCTTAGTTTTACTTTGCTGGCCAGATTCAACAGTCTGAGAATTTGGATCTTTAAGGAATAATAGATAAGCTGAAAGACACTATTACAGAATGGATTTTGTGTCATTTCTTCTTCACACTACCAAACAAGATGTAAAAGTGTGTTTAGGTAACTTCAGTTGTTTCTTAGCCTAACATGGCGCATGCTTTAAACTCCAAAGAATTGTTTTTGTTCTTATCATACCAACTTTAAAGGCTAAGTGATTATCTGCACTTTTATTTCATTGCATTATTGTAATAGGTTCTTAGGAAAAATTGACACATACTGTAACAAATCCCAAATCACAAAATGATGTTTAAATTATTGCTTGGTAGGTTAATTTTCTACAATCCATTTTATGTTGTGGCTGGCAATAAATCGTAGTAATATTTGATTGATATATCTTTACTTTGCCTTTAAAAGGACTAACTTTGATATCTATATCTCAGTCATTTTAAAGTCATATGAATAAGTTTTGGAAAAAATATATTTCTCTTTGGTAATAAAGTATAAACTCAAGACCTTGTACTTGCTAGGCTGGCACTCTACTTATGAGCCACAACCCTCAGGACATTTGTCTTAATACTATATGACGGTCTTTCAAATGAATAGGAACACAATATACTTTCAAATGGATAGGAACACCATATACTTTTTACCTTATAAATGTATACATTTTCACCATACTCACATCCAAATTGTGTGTTTTCAGCATACACACTTAAAAGAATATCCCTGGCTCTAAAGGAAATGTGAATCAAAATGACATGGAGATTCACCCCAATCGAGTCAGAATGACTGTCATCAAGAGTATTACAGGAAGGGGTAGGGAAAACACTAGGGCTCCTAGGCATAGCTTGAAACTTGCTAAGTAAAGATTCAGAATTATAACAAATCACAGACTGGATAAATGGGATTGCATCAAACTTAATAGTTTCTGCATGGTGAAGGACATAGCTAAGAAATAGCCCACAGAATGGGAGAAGATTTTCACCAGCTATACATCAGACCAGGGTCTAATTCTAAAGTATACTTAAAGCTCAAAATTTAACTATCTGCCCACAAAATAAACTGTCAAAGAAAAACAACCTAAATAATAAGTGGGCTAATGACTTAGACTTCTCAGAAGAAGAAGTAGAAATAGCCAATAGACACTTTAAGAAGTATTCAACGTTTTTGGCCATAAAGGAAATGCAAATCAAAACAACACTGAGATTTTACCTTATCCCAAATAGAATGGCCAACATCAAGAAAACTAACAATAACAAATGCTGGTGTGGATAGGCCAAAAAGGAATTCTATGGGAACATATTATAAGCTTGTTCACCCACTTTGGAAAACATAATAGAGATTCCTTAAAAAATAAACATAGAGCTACCCTATAACCTAGCAATTTTACTCATGGGCATTTATCCAATAGAACATAAGGTCATACTTACACACTTAGCTATCAGCACAACCATGTTCATTGCAGGATTATTTACCATAACAAAGATATGGAATCAGCCCAGATGGCCCTCAAGGGACAAATGGATCAAGAAAATGTGATATATATATATATATATATACATATATATATATATGTATATATATATATATAATGGAATTTTACTCATCCATTAAAAGAATGATATTGTATCATCCCTAAGGAA